AGTGGTTTTATATTATACCATGATGTACATAGAACTCAAGAACACAAGTAAAACTTTTCAGAGACTAATAAATTTGATTTTAAAAGAAAAAGAATAAAAGCAAATAGCTGTGGCATATTAGAATAATGTTGGGTTGAGGACTAACAGCGATTTAGAATACTATATCAATATTTTTATTAAACTGGTTAGAATATTTGAAAAAGCTAGGCTGATATTCGCTACAAAAAAATGGTTTGTAGCATATAAAGAATTGAGTATGTATAGTTTTGTTGTAAGTAAAATAGAAATAAAAGTAGATACTAGGGGTTTGAGAAAGGTATAAACTAGATAGAACTATAGAACTTAAAAAAAATAAGGTCATTTCATAGGACAGTAGATTATTATTGATGTTTCATAAAGAATTTTAGCAAAATTGCCAAGCTGTTAATAGATTTAATAAAGAAAGAAAGTGAGTTTTATTGGGCAATGATTAGAAGTGATTATTTAAAAAATTGAAAAAGATGTTGCTAGAAGAGGTAGTTTTAAAAAGACCTGATTGGAAAGCTGCAAAGAGTGGCAAAAGGTCATATTAATTGTATACAGATGTGTGTGATGCTTCACTTGAAGCCATTTTGGAACAAATTAATAATGTAAAAAATTTGAGATCAATAACTTTTGATTCTAGAAAACTAAACAAACATGAGCTTAATTATATGGTTATAGAGAAAGAGTATTTAGCGATCATTTTTGGGTGTAATTCTAATAAGCAATATGTTAGAGAAATGAAATTTAAATATAGGTAGATCATCAAGTATTAAAATAGTTATTTAACAAGCCAGACCTAAATGGAAGGTTAATGTGCTGAGTATTGATATTGCAAGTATTTGAGTTCGATATTTGCTACAAAAGTAAAAAGAAATATAGTAATGTGAACAGACTATCTAGATACTCAGAAGTCAATTTTAGCAAAAAGAAAAACAATGAAGAATTTTTGGATAGAATAATAATACAAATAGATAAGTTTGAGAGTAGTGATCCTAATTGTTTAGTTAAAAATCAACTAGTTGACAACTTTTTAACTATCGATTTAGAAAAATTTAAAATAACTAATTGTTTTAATTATCAACTAGTTTAATTCTGAGATATTCCATCTAGTCAGGCCAATCTGTATTGATTTCTTTAGCTTGATTAGCTAATCGACAAATTTAGTCATATGATATAAAAATTAATTAGTTGCAATTATAGTTGGCAACTAATTGATTAGCAAAATTTTTACCAACTAGAAACACTATTTGAAAATAGAGAACAAGACTTGTTTTGGATAAGAAATATTTAACAAATTTGAAATGAGCACATGATGTGGAAACCGTGAATTTACTATAATTGTGACGAAAAATAAATTGCTATTGCATAATTGGTGAGTATTGTATAAAAGGTTAAAGGTGGTGTACTGCTAAGATGAGTGATAAAGAAAAGTATTTAATTTTAATAGCAACTTATTGTGAAATAGCCAAAGAGAAAGACATCATAGAATCAATAGTACCCATAGAAAGGTTCTAATGAACTACTGTTAAACAACTAATAATGTATATGAAAATGCAAAAATTTATATAAAGTCATATATAGAATATCAAAAATATGCATTAAAGTTGATTAAGGAACCTATTCACATAACTCTCTACTAGTTGGATTTTTCACAAATTGTATATTGATTGTATAAAGCCGTTGCTCAGAATAACAGGAGGTTATAAGCATGTTGTACTAGTAGTTGAAGAATTGACAGGATATGTCGAAGGAAAAGCTTTGAGTAAAAAGAATACGATTACTATCATACAGTTTATATAGGACAAAGTTATCACAAGACATAGATGTTTTGCTATTCTAGTATCAGATAGGAAAACCAAATTCAGTAATAATATATTGTCAGTATTAGCAATCCATTTGAATATAGATTAATAGTCTGTAGCCAGTTATCATCCAGAAGCCAATAGGCAGGTGGAGTATACTGTTCAAAAATTTACAAGAATAATTGGAAAAATATGTACTAAAAAACAAAATAAATAGTATATAAAAAGTATGATTTGGGCCATTAATATCACTGTTAATGATTTAGGATATTCTCCTTTTCAATTAGTTTATAGAAGTGATACTATAACACCAATTCAATTGATGCTAGAGACTTATCAAATACTAGCTTTCAACCCATGGCTTCACCACAGGGTAGCACATAAAAAAAATCTAGAACAGGTTTGTAGCACTGATTTCCTGAACTACAAATCAGATTTTAAAGTTCATATATAATGTAACATGAACAGAAAATTCAAAAACAACCATTCATTTTGCCAAAAAACATTTATTTCATGAAAATTCGAATAAGAAACAACCTTTAGTGCTTTAACAAAAAGCATTCGTTGAGCAATTTTACTAATAAACTATCTCTCTTTAATTTTTAACCCTGACTCTAACCCTAACATTAATTGTCTTTTAAAAATTCTGTTGCGCTGCAAACCTGAGAATTTTTATTTCATAATTGCGTATATGTATATGACCCAATTTATCCAACTTGTTGTAATTAAATACCATAGCCCATAACCTGATTATGGTCATATATTTTACATACTATTACATTTTTGGATAAACTTTTGATATTTAATAATTTTAGTTATAATAAACCCTTAACAAATAGCATAACCGATCATAGCACTGATTTCTCATACTATCACATTTTTGGAAAGATTTAAGGTTTGGATTTTTTTAATTCTAGTTATGACCAATATACATACCAATATCGTACTTGATTTCTTTTAACAAACCTCAATATAACCTCATGTTTATCTTATCTACATTTTTTTTTTTGATCTTTATCTTCATAATCTCATTTCTTGTCTTTGGCAATCACTTGAATAGTTGTCCAAGTATCATATTCAACTTTAAATTATCATGAATTTTAATATATCAAGATTCTCTGATAAATCAGTCAATGAGATGTACATTACCAATACCTTATTCTTTTTCTTAAAGATACTGGCAGTTCTTTATATTTTATATCTACCACTTTTCAGAATTTTTCTTTCTTATTGGACACTTCATCTACCAAGTTATCACATCTTCTTTTGTCTAAATTTTTTATATCATTCAATTCTTCCTTCAAATCATTAGTTCTATTACTTACCAATTCAACCTCCAGATATTCTTTCTTATCACATGCTGTTTTTTCTGTCATATCTACATGTTGTATATCCAGGCCTTTTTACTCTACATTTTTTTTATTCGAACCTTAACTATAACTTTATTAATTCTTAAGTTTATCTACAACTTGATTTCTTATGAGTTTTTCTGAACATTCTTATAATATATGCTCTTTTTTTGATATATGAAATATTGTAGAGGCTCTACATTTTGATTATTCTTTCATTGGGGTATATACTTATTGGTAAAATTTGTCACAGCTTTTGTCAATTGCTTTATCACATTCTTTATCTTCTTAATATCATCATCAGCTTTCTTTTCAACCTTAGATATTTTTAAACTCTCCATTGCAGCTATCAAACTATTAATATCAAGACTATTGCCTTCTTTGAATTCTTCAACCAGAGTTTTGTCTGCTCTTTTTTATTATATTCATTGACTTTACTATATGCTTTAATCTTTAAAGCTAAATTCTTAGCTTCATCAAAATCAGCTAGAA